AGGTTTTGTTGAACAAAGAACCACCCACTCATGGTCTAATATGATTAAGTATAAAGAAAACTGGTAATGACTTGTATGTATGACATAATATTGGCATAAGAATTGATAAGAAAAAGAAAGTAAACAATAAAGTGTGTGTCTTGTATATTTACATGGCATTATATCATTTTATTGAATTTTGTGTTGAATTCCTTCTCTAGGTGTGCCTAGGGACTGTGAACGTTTGGATTCTCGTGGAGCAAGATAAGTAACTTGTGCTACAAGTAAGCAAATTGGTAAAGCTCCAAGATATAAGCTCTATTTTTAAGGAGTCTTTTCTTACTTAAGTGCTCCATCATGGTTATTGGACTGTGGTTGGATTGTGTGATTGTTTTGATGCTTTGTATAAATACATTCATATAGAGCTGTTTGATAATATGATATGTTTTGTTTTGATGTGATTTCTGTAATGATCTCTGGCCATTGACTGTATGTGCACTGATGTCTGCTTGGGGTCCTCTCTCGGGACTGACTGTGTACACCTCTGATATGTTCTGATTCCGCTTGGGGTCCTCTCTTGGGAACACGTGCGTTGATTTTCGCTTGGGGTCCTCCCTTGGAAATGACTGCGTACGCCTCTGATAAGATATGTATATATGTTTTGTTCAATTATGATATCTGTTATATGATATTTTGTATACTCTGTATTTGACTTTCATGCAGGAGTGGGCCTAGGGGTATGGAGAATTTTCTATAAACCTGGAGCTTATTGAGATTTGTTATCTCACCCCATTTGGGGACATCATTTCAAGTGTATAGATTGTCGGTGAGCCTACACAGGGCAGGGATACGACCCGTGAATAGAGTGCATCGCGGATCGAATTTTGGGTAGCAGTATGCTACTATTATTTTGAGGATTGTTATTTGCATTAGTATTCCATTTGTTTTGTGGATCATGATGTCTGATCCGTTACTTTGTATATGTCATGTATATATTTTGTACATGTTTTCTGTTTTGATGCATGTACATCTGTGTATTCAGGCATATCTATATTATGATGTAGTATTCAGTTATATGTCTACATGTTGGTTATGCATGATGTTAGAGATAGCGGCACAGAGCCAAGTTATATATGAGCCCATGGATAGGTATGTGACTTGTGATAGATATATGATATTTCTATAATCATAGATTATATAAAATGTTTATCAGGTTATCCTGAGAGTGGGATTCACAAATTCCCATTTGTCTGATTTGCAGACGTCACTCTTTCTGATTTTCGTCTCCGTCAAATGAAAAGTAAACTAGAAGATATATGCAATATTAAATATCATGTGGATGTGATAAAAATAAAAAGAAAAAGTTAGCTCGAATTTTTGTAAGTTAAGTCTTCTGCTGTTTCTGTTTAGTATCATATGTATGTTAATTGAACCGGCTCGAGACAGGGATGTTACACATATATATTTTATTCTCTAGCCAATAGGATTTATTATTTGCATACTACATTTTCATACATATTCTGATGCATGCATGTATATTTTATAAACTATGATTATACCGGAAGTGAGCTTAGGGGTGGAAGAGCCCTCTAAGGATCCCTAGTTTATTGAGGTAATTATATTATCTTACCCCGTGTTATGGGATTATCATTTCAGATACAGAGGTTGATGGTGCAGAGGCATCGCAGGGCAGGAGGCCAGGACAGTGACATAACTTGTAGTCATGATTAGTATTTTGTGATGTATATGACATGACTATCTATTTTACTGTATTGAGAGTTGCATGACATGTTATTTTGAGAGCATAGAAGGTGTCTATGCCTTGATGAGAGTTTATGCATGCCGATAGTGCTTTATGTATAGCTTATGTTACTTATTTCATTCCATTTCTTTTGTTTAGTTGATATAATTATGTAAGTAACATTTTGGACATTATTTTGAAACCTGATGGTTATGAGATAGGCTAGTCCAAGAATGGCTGGACAATATGTTTTATCTATATTGAGTTAGGATTAAGATATAATTAACTGTTAATCAAGTGTAAATTTAAAAGGGTGGGAAATGTCCCTGGTGGTCCAAAATATAGACGAAATGTCGTCTGTTTTATTTTGGCCATGGAAATGATAAAGTTTCCAATACATAAGGAAAAATAAAAAGTTAATCACATTTTCATACTAGGCCTAGCCGCCTAGTCTAGTGAATTAGAAAAGAGCTCCCACATTTAATTATATAAATATGATGCACTTATTATTATATGAATGTTAATTAATCGGCTGCAGACAAGGCGTTTCACAAGCCATCAAATTTTTGAAATAGACACATAGCAAAAAAAAAAACATGATTTTCTATAGTGAGCTAAATGGTGATTTCTTTTTTTGTCTTTCATCAAAAAGAAATCCTAAGCATATTTAACAAAGGAAATTATATCCAAATCACTTTATAACTATCCACACCATGACTTACCTCAATGTGAAAAATTCACAAATCTCCAACTCAAGCGAATGTGGATTCCAATCCGCGAAAATCGCTCAAAAAAATGTTGGGATCAAAACTCTACAATATGAATATATCACAAACAACCATCACAATCCATAAAGTCCTCACATTTTCCTTTCTTGAAATTCCATAAAAATGAAGTTAGAGTAGGGGGAAACTTACCATAAATCATGCTAGAATACTAGGGAAGGTAAATCCCAAGCTCTATTGTTCCCAAAACACTCAAATCACCCAAATTTCTTAAAAAAAATGAAATGGTAGACGGGCGGTATCTGACTCCACACAACTCCCCACTTGAAAATGATGGTTTGGTTTTGAAGAGGAGAAGATTTGACATACTTTTGGCTTTGGAATCAAGTGATTTGGAGTTCTCTAGCTCTCTCTATGATTTTTTGAAAAATTTAAAGCTTTCATGTAATGGGGGAGGGGGTTCTGTCGACGGGAAGAAGAAATGAGGGAGAGAGATAATGTTTAGTTTACTTAAGTGGATATAAACTTATCTACTCCGCTCACTTATCTCTCATTCCAATTTTACATATTAGTCCATAATATTTTTGTGATAATATTTATAATTTTACTTTTATTTTTTGGATAACTTTGTTTACCCATATTTTTATCCCAATACTGACTTTAATTCATTTAATTATAGGCTAAGGTCATTATAATACCATTAAGGGAGTAATATCACTTAACTTTTTTTCTTTTTTGGAAAATATCACCTAAGTTTTAAGTGACAAATTGCCTACTAAAAAAATAATTTTAGTTTTTATTAGTTTACCAAATGGCGGTAGCTCAGTCAGTAGCAAGGGAGTTGAGTAAGTGGAAAAGAAATGGCCTCAGTTCGATCCACACATGTTATTTTTAGGAAAGATTTAAATATCTCCATCCTTGACCTGCTCCACACTTCGGATTAGTCTTATAGCCGACTCAAAGAGTCGAAGTTTGTGGGGATATCGAGAAAAATCAACTCGCCTCAAAAAGGTAATTATAGTTGGGTTAACTTCGAAAAGAATGTTATTTTAGTTAGATAATGAAATTTTTAGATGCTATAACTTCACACCACATCAAACTATTTGTCATGGGAATAATTCCTCTTATAACACATGAGATCAAATGAGAATATCTCAATCATCTAAATACAAAAAAAAAAAAATGATAGGAAATGTAACAAAATAAAAGAAAAGAAAATAATAACACTTAATTTATATTTGAATAGATCCACACAAATAACCTATGTTGCACTGACACCTGATATAGAACATGACACAACACTTTGACACGTTAATTTTAAGAAATGTTAGATTTTGATATGTTATGACACATTTTGATATTAAATAATATTTTTAATTTATGTAATGCATATTGTATTTAATATTGAATAATTTTAAAAAATAAAACTAAACTTATAATACACATCAATTTTGCAAAGAAACATAAGATGTAAATATTTACTATTATAATTTCAAATTGAAAATCTCTTGTATACTCTAGTGAAATTTATTTGGTATCTATTTTTAATTTTTATTATATCAGTTTGGTAAAATATCGAATACTTTTTTCATGATATATAATGAAATTTTAAATATTATAAATATCGAAACATGTTAGAATGTCGGTGAATATCGGATACGATACAACATAGCAAATAATTTGATGTCACATGACAGGATCCAAATAATTCGATATCATTTGAAATTATGAAAGAAAATAAGAGAGTAGAAAAAAATGACATTTCATGTCATCTTTGAGTTTGGCGTGACTGTGAAAATAGACAAGATGTTTGTCCGAAAATATTATCAATATTTTTCTTCATATGTTTTTATTATTATCTTTTAAACTTTTACCTACCACTCTAAAATAGTAAAATAGGAATAAATCTTTAGGTAACTGATGCATTAAAGATTTAGTGCAATTCCTATCCATTTTGTGATATATGGACAACAAATATCATATCATTTGAAAAAAAAAAAATGACAACTAATCAGATGATGTGATATTTTTTACTCACGTGTCACAAAATGAATTATAGTTGTACTGAATCTTCAGTGCATCGATTGTATTAAAGATTTATTCTTAAAATAGATGAAACCTAATGAAATTTATTTCATTTAATACTTTTATTTTTTAAAATAGAAATTTATAAAATAGAACTAATTTATTATTTATTGATTTTCTTATATTTTGTTTATATCCCATCTAGTGAAATACTTTTCTATTGCATAATAAATAATGGAAAAAATAACAGCATAATTTTATTCAATATTAATATCTTATAATACAAATTTTTTATTTAATAATTTAAAGAATAAGTGAGTGTAGTCCCATAATATATAATATAATTTATAAAAATTTATAATTAAAAAGCTTCTAGACATAATCTCCCCGTGTTTTAAAGTATAACTTTATTCAATTTGATTTTGCTCAACAACTTTCAATTTATATTAAAAAAAAAAAAAAACAACTTTCAATTCCATTGTCGTACTTAAAGGGATGCAAGGAACCGGATAAGAGGATGAATAGAAAAGATTGGGGCGAGCTCACTCTATGAAAAGAGTTGAAGTGCTGGCATTTGGTATTTTGGTTGAAGGAACAACCTTAGTAATAATATGAAGGGGTACGAGGTATGGACCTCAATCTTCAACACCACCACCTTCTTCCCTTTCAATGATAATCTCTCCCTCACTCTTTCCTTCTCTTCACCTTCCTTCCACAACCAAAGGACAAGACTTGTAGCTCACAATCTCAAACCCCATATTCTCCTATGCGCCTCTCTCCCCAGTGAGTATCATTTTCCTACCTCCTATGCTGTTTTGGTTTTCCTCTCACTTTGTTCCTTCATTGTTTATTCCTTAATATTATGTACTTTTTTTGTGCTCAACATGGGTTTGTGCAAAAGATTAAACTTTGGTCTTTATTTGAAGTGATAAGGGTTTCGCTAGAGATGGGTAGTTATATAATTTGAAGGGGATAGCAGACCTGCAAATTTCACATTAGAAATTACAGTAACAAGTTCCATTTACATTTTTTTTCCTATTTTATTTTATTTTATTTATCTAGATGAATTTTTCTTATTCTAGTTTACTAAGTTGACAGTGTAAGAAATTAGAATATTACTGAAGAAACCCTAAACCCTTCAACAAGGTGAGTATCTTTATATTTTCTTTTTTGATATCTCTTTGGTATCTTGTTCCTGATGCTTTTTCTAACTAATTTCTAGGTGTAATTTTTTGTGTCACTAAAAAGAAAGTGAAATTCCTTTTAGGTCCACAAGCTAGCAGTGCTTCCACAGCTCAAGTGGGGGAGCAGGAAGAGGTTGAAATTGCAGAGGGTTACACTATGACTAAATTTTGTGACAAAATGATAGATTTGTTTTTGAATGAGAAGACCAAATCAAAGGAATGGAGGAATTACCTGGTATTTAGGGAGGAGTGGAATAAATACAGGGATAGTTTCTACAGTAGGTGCCAGAAAAGGGCAGACATGGAGAATGACCCAACCATGAAAGAAAAATTCATTTCATTGAGGAGAAAGGTGAAGAAGGTAATGTACTATAAATTGTTCTCTATGTTTCTTACGTTATTCTCAACCATGCACCCTTACAATGTTGATGTTAAGAAATAGACTCTCCTGTTGCTGAATAAAAGTTGGAAAAAGCAAAGAAAGCTGTTTTTTTTCGTAGCTATTGTTTTATAAATTTTTTGGCTCAAAATATAGTCAAAACTAAAACTCATCTAGATTTTGTTTTGTATAAACGGTGCAGATACATTGTCCTGGAAGTTCTTGTTAAACTAGTAATAAGATAACATTTTATTTTTCTTGTTAATTAATTACTTTTTGTCAGAAAGTACAAACCAATACAACAAAATATACTTTCATATCTAGGCACTTGCTTGATTTTAGTGCTTCTCCATCGTTCTGTTTGATTAGGTGTAAGCAATTGCAGATTGATGAAGAAATGGAAGGACACTGTGAACTTCTCAAGGAGATACAAGATAGCCCGACTGACATTAATGCCATAGTCGCACGAAGGCGCAAAGACTTTACAGGAGAATTCTTCCGCTACCTTACTCTTATTTCAGACACGTATAACAGTTTGGAGGATCGTGATGGTAATTATATAGGAGTGCAATTTTTTTGTTTTGGCCTTTTTCTCTGGACTATTATTTATTCTAAATCTAGTAATCACCACAAAGAATGAGATAAAATATGACAGTTAATTGTAATAAAAAAGAACTGATTATAATAAAATTGCACTATTGTTCTTGGAACTTTGCTTAAACTAAGATGGAAGAATAAGATTTTTTTCCCCTTAAGTTGGCTATTCCTTATGATTGGCATATTTCTTGAACAGTGATTGCCAGGCTCGGGACTAAATGCTTGTCAGCTGTCAGTGCATATGATAATACTCTAGAGAATGTGGAGCTGGAGACGTTAGATGCTGCACAGGCCAAATTTGATGATATCCTAAATTCTCCTTCTGTTGATGTAGCTTGTCAGAAGATCAAAAGCCTTGCAAAGGCAAAGGAACTTGATTCTTCATTGATACTGTTGATAAGCAGTGCTTGGGCTAAAGCAAAAGAATCTACAACAATGAAGAATGAGGTATGAATTTGGAATATGATGCAGTGCAGCAATGTTTTATTAATGTCCTTCCATTCTCTTCCAAGAAAGATCAACAGATGCTTCTAGTTGTGCCCAGCCAATAATAGTAAGGCTTTATTAAACATAAAACTAAGTAGAATGTGTTCCTCTTGTGAGTGTATATATCATATCTAAAATTTCTTTTTCTGGTGTTATCTGCCTGTTATGCTTATTTTAAGATGGTCTTTGCTGCGCAGTCTTTTTTTTCAAGTTTTAACATACAGCACATAAATGAAAATGTTAGTTGATGTTATATTGCATAGACTCAGAAAGACAATCAAATCACTTAATCCTCTGTTTCTAAAGATCACTCTTTGAAGATTTTGGTTGCATACATCTAGGTAACTACTCAAGCCAAACACATTATTGAATAGTCAGACTTTCAACCAGTTAATAACTGTATCTAACATCAGTTCCACACTCCTTTTTTGTGTTGATGCAACACATTTCCTAATCAAGTGGCTAGGAAAAACAAGATGCACTAAAAAATCATGCCAAGGTTTCCCAGTAACTGATAATCAGATTCACATCTTTAGCTTCTGTTGGATGGATATGGTCATGCTATTCTATTATTACTATAATCAGTGCTTTAGATACCCCAGAACATTAATATGGAAGACTTATAGTTGGTAGAAGTTGCAGTGGTCTCTTTTTTCTCTCTTATATGATGAGATTCAGTTGCATTTATTAGCTAAACTAAGTGATTGTCAATGATGGGAAAATGATCTTATGCTTCCGCAGTATCCTTCAATTATAATTCTGTGCATAAGTTGGCTATGAATGTTGTATGGGATGGGAATTGAGAGGTTTCCAGGTCTTTCGCTCTATTATGTTGTTACCCGGACCAGGCAGCCAAAGTATGAATATTTGATACAGGGATCTTAGGATCTAAAGGAAACAAACTGAATTGATTGTTCTGAATTTTAAATGAAAAGTCTTCTCCTTTGATGTTCTAGCATGGAACCATGGAGCCTTAGTTGTGTCTGCTTAAACTTAGAAGAAATGATTAGACTGCATTCATCGTGCTCAACAACCTTGCGCTATATTGTGCAGGTGAAAGACATAATGTACCAATTGTACAAGGCCACGAAGAACAGCCTAAGGAGTATTATTCCAAAAGAAATAAAGCTACTCAAGTATTTGTTAAATATCATAGATCCCGAGGAGCGATTTTCTGCATTGGCAACAGCTTTCTCCCCTGGCGATGGACATGAAGCCAAGGACCCTGATGCTTTGTACACGTGAGAGAATTCCCTACTGGTTTGTTCTTAAGCATATCTTCTTCTTTTTTGTGTTTGTTCTGATACTCCTGATTTTTATGTGATTAAGCAGCACCCCAAAGGAGCTGCACAAGTGGATTAAGATCATGCTTGATGCATATCATCTGAACAAGGAAGAAACAGATTTAAGAGAAGCAAGGCAGATGATTCAGCCTATAGTTATTCAGAGGTTATTTATCCTCAAGGACACTATTGAAGAGGAATATATGAAAAAAGGTGAATTTCAGAAGTCAGAGACAGAAAATGACTCTAAGTCAGAAGAGTTTTAAGGTGCTTGTCATAATCGTTCATTCTTGCCCATTAGTTTCCCATTCCTTGCCTTTGTCAAGAGGAGCAGGGTGAATCAGGTTTGAAGTGGAGAAAACGACTAAATGTGAGAAAAATGAATGAAGTAGCTACCTTCTCTCGGACAAATCTTTAGTGTACGTTTGTTAACTGTAGTGTACATTTTTACTTTTTATATAGTAGGATTTCTATTATTTTTGGAGGTTTTCACTGCGAAACTGTGGATTGTACTTAAAGGTATAAATTATGTAGCATCCACCAGAGCAGGGTGTATGACGATACAAATCATTTTGAGCTGGTGTATCATAGAATAGAACAAATATCAATAGGAAGTAGTTCTCTTAAAAAGAAAAGAAGAAAAAGGATCTCCAATTTTCTTTTGGAAGATATCTTAGAAAAATCAAACCAAATTAACACGTTGGGTGGTAGGAACTTGGTTAATATGAAGTTATTAATCTATGCACATGATCAGTTAACAATACAATAATTATATGATTCGATTTACAAGTTATCAATTACTAGTTTTAGAATTCGTTTGGGAATGGTTTTTAATATAGAATTAACTTTTCTTAATTCTTTTAAAATATTTCGATTTTATTTTTTTAATCTCAAAGAATAAATTAATCCAAATGCATACTTATGCAATCCAAACATTTAACTTAACGGTTTTAAAATTATTTTCTATTCGGTAATCTGAACTAAAATAGGTAATGGTATCATGTCAGTGACTTTGATTGTAATAGTTACAAAGGAATAACGTAAGCATCAAACTTGAAGCATGCCCTTTAGCCGTACACCACGCCATAGGAGACCAACTAGGCCAAATTAACTACCATGACCTCCGTGATGACCATATCTTTTTTGTCATGTTTCTTATATCCTAAGGATAAGGAAGCAGTGACCCATGCTGTATGACTCCACTACTTCTCATTTTCTAAAGTGCTGCAACTTACCAATTCCAACCAATTAAAATAACATGTTTGGGTACAGAATCACCTTGCTGGCCAGGGATACTCACATTTTTTGCCCCTTTTTTTTTGTTTGTCTAAGAACTATTTTTAAATTGGCCTTAAAATAAATTATTTAGCTAAACCCATAATTTCTAATGACAATAAAAAATGTAATAGTACTTTTCCAGTGTAATAATGTCTTCCTTTATCTAGTTTATCAGCAAAATAAATAAATGAACAAAATCTAAAGAAAATTTCATTTTCACTCTTTGTAATTTAACGGTGTATTACTTAACCTCTTGTAGATTCAAACTTATCATTCGTACTTATTGTGGTTAAATAAGTTTATCATTTAACCTATTTTGACTTCAAACATTCACTTACATCTCATTGTAGTAACAAAAATATATCATTTATTTTATAAATATAAAATTCTTTATTTTTTCTAACTTTTATTTTATATAATTGTGATAATACAAATAAAATTTTAATAAAATTAATTAACAACGATTAAATTTAAAAAAATTAAAGTTATTTATTTTGAATTCATTTTAAAAATCTCCTTAAAAATTTTTAGGTATGTAAAAAAATTATTTAAATTTAAGAATATTATTCAAGATAAATTAAAGACGTATTAGTTAAATAAATTATTTATTATGTACTAAAAAAAATTATTTATTTTTAATTTTTTTTAAATTATAAAAATATCAAATAAAATAAAAATAATATTTGACTTAAATTTATTTTTAAGATAAAAATATAAGACCATAAGATTTAAATGTGTATCATCTAATGAATTTATTTCATTTTAATAATTCAAATAAAATGAAATAAATTATTTATTTTTATGTGAATCGAATGTCTACATGATACATTTAATATATATATGTGTGTGTATGCGTGCGTGCGTACGTACATGTATATATAAAAGATTGCAGATGAATCATATAATACTTTGAAATTACAAGAAATTAGTTGATACATTTTATAATCAGCGTGTTTAGATAAACCATATAATACCTGCGGTGAAAATAAAACGAAATCAAAAAGGAATCATGTGCAATTAAAGAAGATAATGCACAGTAAACCAAAATAATAATAATAATAATGCATATTCAACACACACTTAAATATAATAACAAAAAATATAAATAACTAGCAATTATTTAAAAATTCTTAAATTATGAAATAATCCAATTTAAGTCAATTAGGTCAGGTGGATTATTCTTTCTCCAATGTTCTAGCATGGAACTATGGAGCCTTAATTTTGTCTGCTTAAGCTTAGAATAAATGATTAGACTGCATTCATCAGTGGTCAACAACCTTGCTCTATATTTTGCAGGTGAAAGACATAATGTACCAATTGTACAAGGCCACGAAGAACAGCCTAAAAAAATTTCAGGATATGTTTTTTTTCATCATTCCTGCTTTTAACTATACATAGAAAAAAAAAATTTCATCTCACTCACAATATTATTTTCTTTCCACATATAGGAAAACACATTTTCACATTTTGAAAGAAAAATATCCTTATACAATATATTAGTATATGTGTAAAAATGAATTATTTTGTCATTTCAGTTCAAATTCTTATTAATATATCATAATCAATCAAATACAGCAGCAATAAAATTAATCCAACTTTCTCTAAAAAAATTTGGCCTACCAAACAATTTATCCGAAAAAAAGAATTTCTCATCATATTCATAGATATCTTTTTTTCCTTATAAAAAATATCTCATCTACCAAATATTTGAGTGCTTGTCCTAATCTTTCATTCTTGTCCATTTGTTTCTCGTTCCTTGCCTTTTTCTGATAGAGAGGAGCAGGGAGAAGCAGACTTGAAGTGGAGAAAACGACTAAATGTGAGAAAAATGAATGAAGTAGCTACCCTCTCTAGGACAAATCTTTGATGTACGTTTGTTAACTGTAGTGTACATTTTTATTTTTTATATAGTAGGATTTCTATTATTTTCCCAGGTTTTCATTGGGAAACTGTGGATTGTACTTCTAGGTATAAATTATAAAGCATTCACCAGAGCAGGGTGTATGACGATACAAATCATTTTGAGCTGGTGTATCTTGGAATAGAACAAATACCAATAGGAAGTAGTTCCATTAAAAAGAAAACAAGAAAAATGATCGCCAATTTAACACGTTGGGTGGTAGGAACTTGGTTAATATGAAGTTATTAATTTATGCACATGATCAGTTAACAATACAATAATTATATGATTTTGATTTACAAGTTATCAATTACTAATTTCAGAATTCGTTTGGGAAAGGTTTTTAATATAGAAATAATTTTTCTTAATTCTTTTTTTTGCATTACATGAGAATTGAACACACACCACTACACTACAAACACCTAACACACATCCCACACCACTAGGCTAATTCTTTTAAAATATGTCAATTTTATTTTTTTAATCTCAAAGAATGAATTAATCCAAATGCATACTTATGCAATCCAAACCTTTCACTTAACAGTTTTAAAATTATTTTCTATTCGGCTAAACAAATAAAGATTTTCATTTTGCATTTTGCTAGACAGTTAAAAAAGAGAGAGTAAACTAAACTAAAATATGTAATGGTATCAACTCAGTGGCTATGATTGTAATAGTAAGACAACGCATAAACTTAACGGTCACCGTGGCAGTTTGTTTGTTGATGCAAATATAAACTTAATGTCACTGTGCCAGTTTGCATGCAGTACACACCTTTGTAGCTTATCTGTACACCACGCCATAAGAGACCAATTAGGCCAAACTACCATGACCTCCGTGATGTGATGACCAGATTTTTTTCGTGTTTCTTATATCCTAACGGATAAGGAAGCGGAACAGAGATCAAAGTGTCACTGTTGGTAAAAAAAATTGCAAGACTGTCACGTTAATATTAAATTTTGTCAAAATGCCACGTGGCATATTTCGCTACACTGTCTAGCGAAATATCTGTGAAAATAATTCGCTACACAATGTAGCGAAATTCTCCCTGTTTGACACGTGACATTTTTGGTTCTGACGTGGCATATTTCGCTACACTGTGTAGGGAATTATTTGCACACATATTTCGCTACACAGTGTAGCGAAATATACCACGTGACATTTTGACAAAATTTACTATTAGCGTGACAGTTTGATAATTTTTTTTTGTCAACAGTGACAAAATGATCACTATTCCTAAGGAAGGAGTGACCCACGTCGTGTGACTTCACTGCTTCCCATTTTTTTTTTTTTGATAAAAATGGAGGGCCTAGCCCAGAGAAACTATATTAAAAGTTGCTGCATGTTCAAACGAACATGCTCAAAACGTAAGTTAGTACAAAACGAATTCCAAGCAGGGAGAATACTAATAGGGGGAGATGAATAATACACAATCTCTTCACCCTTAAGACTACGACCTAATTTGGCTAAACTATCAGCACAATCATTAAAGGCCCTAGGAATAAATTTCCAGCAAACTTCCTCAAAACTGCTTGCTGCATTCCGTACTCTGTTACTTAAAGATGCAAAACCAGCTGAACCTGAGTGCTCATTAACACAGAGAAGAGCTGCTTGGCTGTCACTGCCTAGCCAAACTCGTGAAAACTTTCTGTCAGCTGCTAGCTTAAGACCCTGCAACATGGCCCACAATTCAGCTTCAATGGGAGAGCAAGGCCCTAGATGCAAGGTAAAACCTCCCAGCCAATCTCCATTTTCTGCAACTACGAAGCCACCACAAGCTCCTAAATTAGAGCTTAAACTAACAGCTCCATCCACATAGATACGCACACCATTCTGCATCACACTATCAACAGAAACTTTGCTGCAAAAAGGTGACAGAGGCCTAGGCAAAGGAGCCTCAGGTGCAACAAACTTTTTCATATCAATCAGGTAGTTAGAAATTATGCTAACTGGATCAGCAGGCCATGAGAAATTAACCTCATGTACAGAGGCATTTCTCCAATGCCATAAAAACCAGCAAGACATAAAAAAGACTTCTTGCCAAGAGCTCCAGAGATTAGTAGAAAAAGGTTTAAAAAAATTTAAACGAAACCACTCTTGTCCATCCAAAGACAAAAAAAGAGATAGGGATAATTCCACCAAACCAAGCTTCCCATAATCTTCTTGCAGCTTGGCAGTCTCTGAGAATATGGACGGTTGTCTCTGGACAAGTGAAGCAGACAGGGCAAAGATTCTCCCCTCCACTCCAGTGGCAAGTAATACTTTTAACAGGTAATCTATCCAAACAAGCCAGCCACATAAAAACAGCAATCCTATAGGGTCCTCTCCATTTCCAAATAGCAGACCAGATTTTATCAAATCCTATGTTAAAATTCATCAATTGACAGTATGCACTTTTAACAAGGGATTTACCTGGAGCTTTTAGTTTCCAATTCAGACTGTCATCAACAGCTTCAGCACTAGGGGGAGTTAAGTTGCACAGTTTGCTTAGAATAGAATCATCCAGAAAGTTCCTCAAATAAGACATGTTCCACTCCCCTGTAGTTAAATCAACCAGCTCAAATACTGTGAGCTCCAAGTCGGAATCAGGGGGCTTAGGGGAGGCCAGCTCCCAGAGATTAACTTGGCCTAATCCCCAATCATCTTTCCAGAAGAGAGCTTCCTTGCCATTGCCTATCACCCATTCAAGATGCCTTGCCATTTTCTCTCTGGCTGAGCAGATGTTCTTCCAAAGAGGGGAATCACTCACTTTAGCAATCAGATTGCGATTGGGATTCTGCTTCCTCCTATACTTGCCAAGTAGTACCTGAGCCCACAAGCTGTCTTGCTCACTTATCAACTTCCAAGCCAATTTTTGCATAAAGGCTTCATTTTGGACCCTTAGATTGATGGTTCCAAGGCCTCCACACTCCTTAGGACTGCAAAGTTGCTCCCCAACATAATGGGCTTTCTTCTTAGAATATGTATCCCCCCAAATAAAATTGCGTTGCAATTTTTCTATGTCCTGGCATACATGAACAGGCAAAGTGTTATTCTGCATTTGATAAATAGGGATGGCAGAAATTACACTCTTAGCTAAAGTTATTCTGCCAGCCAAAGCTAAACACTTGCTCTTGCATCCTTGAAGTCTGCTTTGAACTCTACTAATCACATCAGCATAGTGGTCTCTCCTAGTTCTGCCATGCTTCATCAGAATTCCTAAGTAACGACCAATGTTGTTCACTTTTTTGAAGCCACAAGCATTGGAAATCTCAATCACAGCCTCCTGGGGAGTATTCTTGGAGAAAAAATGCAGGATTTCTCTATACTCACACACTGACCAGACATGCAAGAAAAAGTCTTCAAACAGTCCAAAATACTATGCATTTGGCTCAAAGAGGCTTCAGCAAAAATAATGATATCATCTGCAAATAGAAGATGAGATATACCTGGACCAGATTTTCCAGCCTTAATTGGACTCCACTTCTTATTGTCCACTGCATCCAAGATCAAGTAAGTGAGCTTCTCCATGCATAGGACAAAAAGATAAGGGGATAGGGGGTCCCCTTGTCTTATTCCCCTCTTCGGTTGAAAACCATCAGTTCTAGCTCCATTCCAGAGGACTTCCATATAAGGGCTAGTAACACACCCCATGATAGCTTCTATCATAGCTTCTGGGAGCTTTAAGTCTTCTAACACAGCTCTGATGAAACTCCAATTGAGTTTATCATAGGCCTTTTCTAAATCAATTTTGATAGAGAATAAGCTTTTCTTTCCTTGCATTCTGTGCATTGAGTGTATAAGTTCCTGGGCAATAATTATGTTATCCTGGATGTGCCTCTTTGGGACAAAACTGGTCTGGTTTGGGGAAATGATATTCCCCAAGAAAGGCTTGATTTTGTTGACCAGTATCTTGCTTAGCCCCTTATAAACCGAATTACACAAGGCAATTGGTCTAAACTGTCTCATCAAGGAAGGCCTATCAACTTTGGGAATTAGAGCTATAAGGGTATGATTTATATCTCTAATTTGATCCGGATGAAGAAGATAGTGCTGCATACTGTTGAAAATATGAGTTTTGAACAAGTCCCAATTTTTTTGATAAAATAAAGCTGGCAGACCATCAGGTCCAGGAGCTTTAAGGGGGGGCATCTGAAAAAAAGAAAGCTGGACTTCCTCAGGAGTGATATTAACAGACAGCTTGGTAAATTGATCATCATTCAAAATAGGCCAGCTATTTATTGTATTACTCCAGCTAGGTTCATTGCAGCTTTCTGAGAACAGATTCAAGAAGAAATTTCTTGCTAATGAGATTAGCTCAACCTCTCCAGTCACCCAGCAGCCTAAATCATTTTGAAGCTTGAGAATTATATTCTTTTTCCTACGGATAAGAGTGCTGGTGTGATACAGCCTGGTGTTTCTATCACCATCTCTAATCCAATCCCCCCTAGAATTCTGGTACCAAATAGACTCCTACTGGTCCAAAATTTCAGAGAGCTCTCTTCTTAAATTGGCCTCCAGCTCTTCAAGATGTACACTGTTCTTAGAAGAGAGTTGCCTTTGAATACCCTCCATACGAGCAATCACCCTGTTCTTCCTGTGTTGAATAAAGCCAAACACCTTCCTATTCCACTCCTTAAGTAAAGGAATAAAGGAATTTACACTCTCCAAGAGACAAGCAGACTGATTCCAATTATCCCTAAGAAAGGAAATAAATCTGTGGTCCTTAAACCAAGCAGCCAAAAAACAAAAAGGCCTCTCTCTCCAATTGGGTTCCTCATTCTCCAATCTGATCAATATAGGACTGTGATCAGAAAAAAGTCTAGGCAACACCAAGACATCAGCTTCCTCAAAATTAGCTCTCCAAACCTCATTAGATACTGCTCTATCTAACCTTTTGTAAACTCTATCAAGATTGAGAAATTTAGGTCCCTTCCAGGTGAACCTATTTCCTCCACCCCCAAGATCCATCACACCACACGAATCCAACACATTGCTGAATCTAAGACATCTGTTGTGATCAATTGGCCCCCCACCTCTCTTCTCTGAAGCTGAAACAATTTCATTGAAATCACCAGTGAGAAGCCAAGGATCATTCATGGTTCTTCCAATTTGCTTCAACTCTTCCCATAACACCCTACGATTTTTCTCTTTAGGATTGGCATATACAGCAGTCCAAAAGAAGCCTTTCGTATCAGGGAATTCCACCCAGCAGTGAATGAATTGATCATGAAGAATTTGGAGAGAAATCTGGACATCAATAGAATTCCACACAATCCAGATACCCCCAGTAAAACCCTTTGCATCAGCAACTATGTAATTGGTGTAACCCAGGCTACGAATAATACTAATGGCTTTCTTTCCACTAACTCTTGGCTCTAGGATAGCAGCCACACCTACTCTATGTTTCTTCCTAAATCTGGTAAAGGTGCCTTTGAACTTTTTCTTGGCAGCCCCTCTACAATTCCAGGTGAGAATATTCATCGAGAACTTTGGGAATGTTGCAAGATTCCAAAGTTCTTGCTACTTAAGTCAAGGATTTCACTAATAGGCTTCTGAATACCAGCCTCTTTCTCTATACAGACAGAACAGCTAACAGCCATAGCATCAGTAAGACTAGAACACAAATGAGTTTCTAGAACCATACCTGATTGGCCTTCAACCAACTTAGCTCCTTCTCCTATAGTTAGATCAGGAGGGTCAGGATCCTTCATTGTATCATCACCCTTCAAGCTGGCCTCTTCAATGTTGGAACTGGAGTTAGCAGAAATACCATCCCCAGTAGACAAATCAGTTTCCATCATCAAATCACCCCATGACATGCCTTGTTGGTGCTCAGGAGAAGACAAAATGGGGTTAACAGGAGCCTTCGGCAGAGGGCTGGGTTGAGCTATGGAGATAACAGAAGGAAAAGAAATTGCTCCCTTTCCTTTTACAGAGTGAAACTTAGAAGAAACTTTCTTCCCTGTTGACATGACAGGTTTCGTTCCAACAGTTTTCTTAGCAGTTCTTGAGGAAACTGTTGAAAATTTCATCCCCTCAACTGGAGACTGGCTAGTCAAATCCACAGAATCATTCTCCTTACACTCCTTAGAGAAAGGAGTTTTAACAACAGGCTTCCCTTCAAAGACAGGTTTCTTGACAACTTTCTCACTTTGCAAGACAGTCTTGGAACCAGGCATATTTTTCCTGTTGGATAAGTCCTCACCAAAAGTTCTAGAGCTGCCATATTCCATTTTATGAAAATTTTGATTGCTTTTCTTCCTGCGTTGCACAATCATCCAAGGTCCAACACCTTGAGTCACAGGATTCTCCATTAGCTTATCCTGAGATGTGTCAGCATTGGGAACTGAAGGTGGCTTGACAAAATCTGGGCAGGAATCCAAATTATGCCCATACCTGCCGCATTTGATGCAGATCAGGAAAAGCCCCTGTACTCCCCTCTCAAGGGCTTTGAAAGATCAATTTCGATACAGACTCTTGCGAAACGGGCTCTATCTCCAGTGGAAGTGGTTTTATCCACTTTCAACACTTTCCCTATCACTGCTCCCAACTGATTAAGAAAGGGAAACTCTGCATTAATGGAGAGGAAAAATATTTAATATTTCAAAATTCAAACTTTTTAAATTAGAATTTTTGACTTGATAGTGGGAAATGAATTCCGCATTAATGTTTTTGCAGTGGAAAAATATATATAATAAAATTAAATTTAATATAATAAATTATAGATTAAACAAAAAATTATTTAAAATTTATAAAAAATATGTATAGTTGATAAAAAATAATTTAAATTTGAAATTTAAATGAAAAAATTAGAAATGACATATTTATACCTTAAATAAATTAAAAATTTAACATTAATAAGTAGGGAAATTTAATTCTTATGTTACAGGAATAGAAAATTAGTTTCCTGCTGACTCTTGGAGAAGCGTGCCATACTTTTTATGCTTTTTTTTCTTCAAAAAGCAATGGGTCCCACGAAAAAGTGTGTCTGCAGGAATATGAAATTTTATGATGCAACAGGAGAGACTGAATCCCCTAAAAAGTAATACAGAAAGATAATTAAAACATTTCCACACAAGTATTTTTTTTTAACATAAACGTTTTAAACATATATGTATAACCAATATTACAAAATATAAAAATTACAAATCAAAAGAGGGATACCTGGAAGCCTTACCCATCCTGCAACCTTATGGATGTTAGCTGACTCCGGATCAAAACAGGGTTCCCATCTTCTGGTAGCTAGGTAGTGTCCAAGAATGACCCAGGGACCTCCAGAGATGGCGAGATTTAGATCTTCAAGACTGTTGAATCTTACAGAAAAGAACTCATTGCCAAGGTTCGCCACCGTGATGTTTCCTGCCTTAGCCCAAAGAGACTCCAATCTTTTCCTCATGAAGCCAACCCCAACCTTCTTCCCCATGAGCTTAACAATCAGAGCATTCTTCCATCGCTGACGCATCCTGGTTCGAGCTTCCTGATTACTTCTAATTTCCACAGAACCATCTTCTCTGAACACCGTTTGAAAACCCCACTCGGAGATCTCACCCATGCACGGGTCCAACGGTTCCATATCAGGTTCTAACTCCTCCGAAATCCAGGATGTGGCCTCTCCAGCAATACCATTCTCCATACCCGTCACCTCAGCAAATGATCATTGTTTCCCGATCATCGGAGTACCAGACTGATACTCCTTCAAAACTTCCCTCATACGTGCTTCAGTTTGAATTTCCTCTCCATTCTTAGTACGCTTCGTACTCCTTCGAGACATAGACAGTAGATCGCTTTTAGTGCAAATATCTTCCTCCATTAACAGAACTTCAAAAGGAAAAAAAATCGATCAGAGAAACCCTAGCAGACAGATAAGAAATCGCGCGCGTGCTGAAACGCGCCTAACCCATTCCAACTTTTTGCTTCCCATTTTTTTAAGTGCTGCAACTTACCAATTCCAGCCAATTAAATTAATGACATGTTTGGGTACAGAATCACCTTGCTGGCCTGAGATCCTCACATTTTTTGCCCTTTTTTTTAGTCTAAGAACTATTTTAAATTGGCCTTAAAATAAATTATTTAGCTAAACCCATAATTTCTTATGACAATAAAAAATGTAATGGTACTTTTCCACGGTAATAATATCTTCCTTTATCTAGTTTCTCAGTAAAATAAATAAATAAATAAAATCTAGGGAAAACTTCATTTTCATCCCTTGTGATTTAATTGTGTATCACTTAATCTCTTATAGTTTCAAACTTATCATTCATTTACATTATGGTTAAATAAGTATATCATTTAACCCACTTTGATTTCAAACATTCACTTAAAAAGGAAGATATTTGACTTATTTTATAAATATAAAATTCTTTATTTTTTCTAACTTTTATTTTATATAATTGTGATATTACCAAATAAACTGTTAATAAAATTAATTATCAATGACTAAATTTTAAAAAAATTAAATTTATTTATTTCGAAATCATTTTAAAAATCTTCTTAAATTTTTTTAATATGTAAAAAAAGTTATTTGAACTTAAGAATATTATTCAAGATAAATTAAAGACAAATTAGTTAAATAAATTATTTATTTAAAATTATTAAAAAATAATATTTAACTTAAATTTATTTCTACGATAAAAATATAAGACCACAAAATTTAAATATGTATCATCTAATGAATTTAATTCACATAAAATAAAATAAATGATTTATTTTTATCATAAATCAAATGCCTATATAATACAAATAAATAAATATATATATGTATATGCGTGCACGCACGCGTGCACATCAGTGGCGGACCCAGAAAATTATATGACGGGGGACGAAAATTTATAATATTATTATGAAAAGGTAATGTCAATTTTGGTTGGATGATCACGCTAAGAATATAAAAATATCTATTAAGAAGAACCTAATAAAATTATAGAATTTTTTGCCAATTTTTTGGTTAGAATGTCAATTTTTTGCTTCTAGTGACAGTGATCCAATGCATCCTCTATTTCAATGAAGAACTAGCCTTAAGACCCTATATTTTATTTGTAAGATCAATTTTTTATTGTTTACCTTTATGCCTTCTGGTGTTATAATTGCACTTTCTTTGATTTCTTTAGAATTTTATTTTCTCCCTTAGCTGTTATTTAGCAGAAGACACAGTAAATTTATTAATGTGTTATTTATTTTTAGCATTTGGTCCCAACTAATAAATGATAACTGTTACTGGCTTTTTTTTTTGCCAACAAAGTCAAAACTTAAATACTCTTCTCCTGAGTTCTGATATGACAATATGTACAAATTTTTAATGATTATAAAAAGAAAATTAGATAATCAATCAATATAAAATCAAATTCTAGACAAATTTGACAGGTAAAGTGAATATGTATTACTAACTGAATTCTTCTTTGTATACAACGGAAAAGTCAACTTTCCACATTGATTGGGAAGGGTAACACACCAAAAACAAAACCTGTCGTATATATTGGCAGGTTGAATATGATAAATAATAGTTATCTCTAATTGGGTGCAATGAACGGGCGAAACATTTTTCTTATGAATAACATTGCTTGTTTTTAACTTTTTAAAAGCACTTTCAAAATTTTATTTTTTTAGACCATGTTGCATATCATATAGAAGAACATACTTTCATATTTTAGAGGGGAACGAGGGCCCACCCTAGCCCCATGTAAGTCCGCCCCTTGTGCACATGTAACTAAAATAATATATACATGATATTTGAATGTACAAGAAATTAAATGATATTTTTTTGTAATCTGTGTCTAGTAGATAAATCATGTAACCACGGCGATGAAAGCGAAGTTATTTCTAAAAAATCTATAGTTGGTTTGGCTGTACTACTTTTTTTGGATTGAATGACGTGGATCCTTTTGTACTAGCTTCAGCTGCAGTACAAGTCTACACTATATAATATCCCAGTGCCTAACAATGTCTATTGCAATGTCACAGAAAAAAAAAACAATAAGCTGATTCGGATACTGATCCTCCTTAAGCAATTTCCGTTTCAGCAACTACAACTTCACTTCTCTGCCTCAGTTTCTGGGTAACAGGTAATCCCAAAGTGTCCTTTTTATTCTTCTTCTTTCTTGTGGTACTGATACAATGAACTTGTACTAGTGTCTACAGTGGATGATCACAATGTTTATTTCTATGTTCTGAGCTTGTGTTTGTTGTTTGTTACATGAGCTTAGTTGAGACATTTACAAGTTTTCTCGTTGACCAACCTGCCAATAAGATCCTTCTTTCATATCTGTTCTTGTAAACTTTCTATATATTTGACGCATTTTTTTTCTTGTATGACTCTCTCAGATAACCGTGGGAAACATGAATTGGAAAAAGAAAATAAATGATGCTAAGAGATTTTTTTTTTGGTTTATGAAGTATATTTTATCGATAAATTTTCCATTTTGACTGCAAGAAATTGAACCTAATATGTCAAAGAAGCACGTTAACTTATAATAACACCGAGAGCTTTCTGAAAGATTGCTGTGTCTCAGGTTAAATTGAGAGATGGAAGCGCAACAAGAATTGGAGTGGATGGAAGCCCAAAAGATTGCAATAAGCGTTGACCTTGTCGCTGTGGCCAAAAAGCAGCTTCAGTTCCTTGAAGCTGTTGATAGGAATCGTCACCTCTATGACGGTCCTGCCCTTGAGAGAGCTATCTATAGGTGAATATTCCACAAACCACATAGATTTTTATGCTTAAAAATATTTACAAAGAACCATTCTTTATTTTAATTTCATTCACTAAACTTCTTGAGTCAAGAACTATAAACGGTCTTGAGGAAGGATATCTTTGACATTCCTGTCTTATGGAATATCATTACTTTTGTCCCATGTAGTTAATGTGATGTAGGTGTCATGGATTTTCTATTCTTATATCCATAAAAAGATGTTCAATCTCTTAGTTTCTTCGGCTTATTTTATAACAATGAAAGTTTATAATCAGGTACAATGCTTGTTGGCTTCCCTTGCTTGCCAAACATTCCGAGTCTAGGCTGATTGAAGGGCCTTTGGTAGTTCCTCTTGACTGTGAATGGGTTTGGCACTGTCACAGGCTCAACCCGGTAGGCTTCAGACCAGGAAATATTTGTATTTACCTGATTGTTGGCATTTCTTTTTGTTTCATGGGATTGAGTTGCGAGTAATAAAATTTGGTTTCATTCTATTACACAGGTAAGGTACAAATCTGACTGTGAGGAACTCTTTGGACGGATGCTTGACAACTTTGCTGTTGTCTCTACTGTTGAAGGAATTTGTGGCAGGCAAACTGAAGAAATTTGGAATAAACTATATCCTGATGAGCCCTACGTTGCTGATTTGATTAATCTTATCACAGAGGATATCTCTGAAAGGATTGCTAGACTTGCAAAATGCACTAAATATGATCTGATTTCATCTGTTAAGAGGCAGAGTCCGTTCTATTACCAGGTAATGGAGAGTAGTGTTTGTCTAGTTGTCCCATTTCACATAGCACTACCAATGAAGTTAATGTTTGATATACTCAAAGCTTGATATTCTAATAGGACTAATTAAGTCTCTAAGGTTTACCAGGCCAGACCTAGTCTCTGTAACCTCTGTCTATGCTTTGCCAAAGCCTTGTTTAGGATGTTAGCATGGTTTAGGTTGTGTGTTCAACTTGGCACATCTTCAATTTTATCAATTTGTGATTGACTATATTCTTAATGATTTACAATAGATCTATGTGGTTCCGAAATATCTTATTTTGAAAACAATTATAAAGTGCAGACAATTTTATTCTGGACATCCTTAATTTTATGAGTTATTAGTCTGTTTGGTTTAGTTGGATAACAAAAAATTTTGTGAAATTCGTTTACCAATGGTCTTTTCTTGTGCATGGCTATTACATAATGCTGTTTCTTCAAAATGGATTATATATCCCTAGTCTTTGTGATAGGTATCAAGACCCTACACGAAAAATGATATCTTTATCAAGGAAGCTGTGGCCAGATATAAGGGCTTTCTGTATCTTATCAAGACAAACAAGGAGAAGGGTATAAAGCGCTTTTGTGTCCCAACATATGACATTGACCTAATCTGGCACTCTCACCAATTACATCCAGTTTCTTATTGTAAAGACCTCAATGAAACACTTGGAAAAGTATTGGAACACGATGATACAGACTCGGACAGAACTAAAGGAAAGAAATTGGATGTTGGTTTTTCTGGAACCACCAAACAGTGGGAAGACACATTTGGTACAAGATATTGGAAGGCTGGAGCAATGTATAGGGGTAATGCTCCATCTCCTATTACAAGCAACCCTTTTTCATCTAGCATGATTTACAAGAAGGTTGTTACTTTCAATGAGCATCCACAAGAAATTTCGCTACAAGATCGGAAAGTTGTGGAGGTACTTTAAAATCTCCTCTTTTCTGCCATATCTGACATTATTTAAGCTCTCTGAATTACGTGCATACCACATGTTATGCATCATTTTTTGAGTTATGTACAAGAATATCCAAATATATGTCCGTGCCACATGTTATGATAAGTTTCTATTACTATGTTGTTTCACTGGATGAATGGTAGGGCAATATTTCCTTTCAGATCCCTAGAATAGTTCAGTGACTCGCAAAGCTTTTCATTATAACAAGGATATAAACTGTTTGAATCATGAACAGCTGGACGATTTGTTTATAAAGGCTCTCACTAGAGTTAGGATATCGTATGCTGCAACTAAAAGCTGAGCATGTTCAATATCTGTGCTCCAGCTTAAGGGGTACTGTTAAGATAGTGGACAGATCTATGCGCTGCCACAAAATGTAACCCTTCTTCTTGTGTATAAAACTATAGACACGGAGATTATGGTAGTGCCGACAACAATTTCTCTCTGTGTTCTTCAGCTTTGACATGGAACCATAGCTGTTTAGGACAGGAAAGAAAATGCAATTTAGCAACTGAACAAAATACCTGTGGATAGTAATGGCAACTTTCTTGGTTTTGGGAATTTTAATAGTATTACTTCAGTTGAATCAGCTTTTTGCCATATCATACTCTTCTACATGTACATAGGCATATGCAGACTAAACTGAATAACTATCACTGAAACAGCTTCTATTCATATAAGGGTATTTGTAATTTCCTCTATAATCCTTTTCCAGGTTCTCTTGGAGATTGTTGGGGTTAAAAACTTACCTGAGGGACAGGAAGGAGGTCTCTGTGTTTTATTTTCCAAATCACAACCTGATGCATTCTTTGATGCTAAAAGGAGACTAAATATTTTGTCAGAGTCCGGAGAGAAACAGGTTGCATCTTTCCAGTGTGAACCAACAGGACAGCTTGTTTTTGAACTCATGTCCCATTCTTCTTCCAAGTTAGCAGTAAGAAGATCAACAAAGACACTGGGTTCTGTTTCATTCTCTATGGTAGACTATCTTGACCCAGTTTCAAAACTGTATGTTGAGAAATGGTTGGAGTTGGTGCCAAGTTCTGGTACCATGAGCTCAAAGCCAATCTTATTACGGGTAGCCATCTCATTTTCTGTTCCTGTTCCTGCCCCATACACGCTTGAAATGACTCAGTCTCGACCACTTTCCAAAAATACATGTTTCTTCAACCTTCCTGTTAGGCCTCAAAATGCCAGGAGCTGGACTCATGTCACAGATGAAACTGACACCAGAGTCATCAGCCTTCAAATGAGGTACAGTCTATGCACTTTATGCCAGATATTAATTAGAAGTTCCTTACAAGAATACGTACAGTATTTTCTTATATATTGGGGACTGGTCTCTGGGTGATTTGTGCGTGTAAGTTACTGCTTCAAACGTGATTTGTTTTGCTGCTTGTTGTTTCTTGGAAATATCAACTTGTTTTAATTGCATTTGTATAATCTTCCAACTACCAAGTGCTTGCTGGCATCTAATTCCTAGATTACCAATTGTGTTGATCCATCACAAAAGCTTGTAAATATGTAAGTGGAAAGCCAATTTCAATGGTCACTGTAGCTGTAGCTATCTGTATGTAAATTTTAGTTGAGATTCGTCATTCAGTGTATCCTTATATGTAATAAACAGTTGAGAGATGTTGTATTCTAGATACAAGTCATATATAGTTTGTTGATTCCTTTTTCAATACAATTTTGGCCTAAGTAAGATCATCAGTCTATATGAGATTGATAAGAATCTTGAGGTTCAACACCCCAAAATCTAATTCAAAGGGTAGGAGTCACATGAGTCACCCATACTACCAATGTGGACTCCAATGCCCATACATTGCAAACGGGTCGTAACAGACATCATCAAGCATAAATTCATTTAGGCATAAATATTACATGTTACAAATAGGGCGGATAAATACGTGCATAAGAAGAGAGAGCATAAACCACTAAAAAAAGTAGCAGTTGAGATTGCAGTTAACCCAGTTGAGCGGAATTATCTGCTTAAAGCAAACTTTTCTATATGGTTGGCTTTTAAATTAGTCAGGTAACTAAGTTCTAAACAAAGTGTTTCTGTTTGTCATACATCTTTGAATTCCATATAGTTTATCTTGCCACTTGTCATGAAGTTTTCTTAATTAAGCTCGCTAATGGTCTTTCCTATCTCTGATTACATTTCAGGGATTTGAAGAACACAAAGAACATTGGAAACCCTGGAAAGGAGGTTGTTGGCCTCACGAAGTCTGGTGAAACTCGCACTCTTGCTGAGTTTAAGGAAAATGGATGGTCTATTTTGGAGAATCTTGGGTTGTTTCACCTTCCAAACAAATGCGGAAATGATGGCCATCTCTTTGAGCTAACGGGCTCCAAGACGGTATGCATTTATTCTAAATTATTCTGTTTTAAAAGTATCTTGTCATGGCAAGAGCTCTCTCGGATCTTCATTTTTGAACCGAGGCTATGATTTTTGGCACAGGTGAAAATATTTCCAGGAAGAAAGCTAGACTATGAACCGAGGCACTATGGGAAACAAGGAAATGAAATGGACTTCTTAACAGCAGTTGAATTCTCCATAGAAGATCCTTATGGAAAAGCAGTAGCTTTGCTTGACTTAAGATCTAGACTTGTCACGGTACTTTACTTTCATGCTACCATATTAAACATTTTCTATGTAGCCATATTATATATATATATATATTAATTTGTTTTGTGCTTATTTTTCTAAAATTGAATAGGTAAAGGAAAAGTGGATGGTGTTGCCTGGAATCATAGTCGCTTTTATTGCATCTGATACAATGAAAAACGAAGGATATGAAGGCCTCATTACTAGTAGTAAGGATTTGAAGGTGAATGGCCAAGTTGAGGAAAATGAAAAGAAAGACATAAACGGAGTGGAGTTAAGCTGTGAAGTGTGCAGTGGAGATAAGGGGATAACCAAAAAGCTTGAACTCTCAAGTGGAGGCTGTGGTAATGCAATGAAAAGTGGTGGCTGTGGGGGCTGTGGTGTTGGTGTTTGTGGCGGAGGAGGGTGTGGAAATATAATGAAGAGTGGTGGCTGTGGCAGTGGTTGTGGCGGAGGGTGTGGAGGAGGATGTGGAAGTATAATAAAGAGTGGTGGCTGTGGCAGTGGTTGTGGCGGAGGGTGTGGAGGAGGATGTGGAAGTATGATAAAGAGTGGTGGCTGTGGCAGTGGTTGTGGCGGAGGGTGTGGAGGAGGGTGTGGAAGTATGATAAAGAGTGGTGGTGGTTGTGGTGGAGGCTGTGGAGGGGGGTGTGGAAGTATGATGAAGAGTGCTGAATGTCGTAGTGGCGCTGACTGTGGTGGCGGAAGGTGTGGCGGTTGTGGTGGTTGTGGTGAAGGATGCGGTGGTGAGCTTGTGGACACTAAATGCGGCATCGATGAACATTTGAACGAGAAACCAAACTATGTGAATGAAGAAGCAGTCACTGCATGAAGCATGTTTCATGGTAATGTGTGTCACTTCTGTCTGAATGTATGTCAATTTCGCTTCTCTCCCATTGAAGTGTTTCTTAAACAGAGAAAAAAAAATGGAGAGAGTTGAATATTAATTACCTGTGCGAGTGTCAGTGTGTGTCCTTATGCTTTTCTATGTATGCATGCACCTATATGCAATGGTTTTTAAGATATTTTCGTGCGGCTAAATTTCACTTGTGTTGCAAAGTGTTCTCCTTTGTCGTGGAATTTATGGATTTTTATAGCCAAATTTGCAAATTGAAAACAAAAATTGTTGGTGATTCCTTGGCCATTTGCCAAAATTAACATAATAATATTGTAAACACTACAAGTATTGTTCCGGCCAGACAACACCCTACCAATGTAGAACGAAAGGGTTGTTTTTCCTTCCAAAATATTTATCAAGGCACATACGCCCTCCCACATCACAGATAGTGCATCTGTCGAGACTAGGGGTATAAATGGATTGGGCTTTGGCCTTCCTGACCTAAGTTTACGTAAAAATATATTCAACTTATCTGACCTATTAAAGATTTTATTTATAGGCCAAGTCCGACCTACTTTTAAAAATTAGAGAGCCTGATATGGCCTACAGGCCTTGTAGGCCTCCCTTGTGATATATTTTTTTTAAAAAAATTAACAATTTTTAAAATATTCGCTTAACATTACAAATCATTAACGTGTTCATAAATTGTTGCATTTTTTTACACGAGATATAAATTTCACTAGTGAGCATTAAAAATTTTACAATAATTTAAAAAATAACTAAAAAATATATTGAGCAAAGTTTCATTCATGCATGCACTAGTACTTCTCATAAGAAAAAAAAATCACAAACAAGAAAGAGTCAACATAATACCTCAGCTCTATAATGTATATCAGAGAGGAATAGAGTCAAAAAAATGGGGAAAATAAAAAAATACAATTACTAGGTCAATCAAAGCTGAAATAAAGTCTACAAGAGAATATCATTCTTTTAAATATCTTTAAACCACCATCAAGACAAGGGTTGGTACTAATTGCCACATAAAATAAATATTTTATTTTATTTTATTTTAAAAATTAAATAGACCAAACTACAAGGCTTTAGGCTAGGCTTGACAAACTTAGCCTACGGCCTATTTGTTAAAAAGGTTTTCTTATAAGTCTAAGGCTACTCTATTTCTAAACGTAGGCCGGGCTAGGCCAGACTCAACGTGGGCTGGGCTGTAGGTTAGGCTAGGCCAGCCTGGCTCATTTATACCCCTAGTCGGGACAGTGGCCCTATACATTTTAATACCCTAACTCCGTAGACTATAAAGCTGGGGTTTTTTTGTTTCCACCAGCCCAAGTGGCTGACCCAATATGAAAGCTCACAACTAAGGCTAAGAACCCCTTGTCCTTCGAAGAGCAACTAGCACACACGTACTCGGTACCTCTCTCTCTTTCATACACAGGTAGCTATTGTACACTAACAATAGCTGCCTTACGTTTTGATCAAAATAGGACATACTATAGTGTCTAGGTTGTCTCATTCTCTTGTACCGTCTTTCTCACAAGGAAGCCCTCTCCTCACCTAGAAATACTCCCTCACTCCCACGAAGAAACACGTTATTCTATTATTTCATGAGCTGTTAATCTATTCATTTGGAGATCTACTACCATAGCCATTAAACACCTTCACCACCACCATTACACAGCACTTGGGAAGCTCCTCAAGAGTCTTGCTTCATACCATTGTCATAAAGAGCACACTATATTAAAATATACACAATTCTCTTGATCACCAGACAACTCAAGTATGTTGAAGTGAGTCGTGTCCTAACTCATTTGCTAGTTTGATGCTCGATTCCTTAATAATTCAATCAGTTAAAAATTTAAAATTGTTATATGAATCATGCTTTTCCGTTCATAATTTTGATTTGTTAATTCTACCTGGACACACACATAAAAGTATTTGTAAACAATAATAAGAATAATTATTATTATTATTTTGGTGGTGGTTTAATTTAGTATATATATTAGTATTTTTTTATTACAAATTCAAACCTAACTTTTTAAATTTGAGTAATTTTGAGTTTAAGGTGAGTTAAGTTTGGGATAGAGAAAAATTGTAGGATAGAAGAGATCTTATTTTGATAGTGAATTGTTTTATTTCTTCTTTTTCCTTTTTTTCTTTTTCTTTTTTTTGGTAAATTATGAATTTCTACTTTCTAAAAGTGAACGTAAAGAGTAGACAATTATATATTCAAATCTCTAATAGGCTAAGATTATCATTTTTACAAGACAATTTAAACGTAAAAGAGAAAATTAACAATTATAGATTTATGATAATAAATTTTAATAGATAAAACATTGAAACCGATTCTATTTAATCAATAGAATTGAGAGAATTAATATCTCTCCCAAAATAAAGAATAAAATTATGATTGAATCTCTAAAATCATGGACATCAAACGCAACTTATATATTAACTTAAATTTTTAATATTACTCATATATAATTGTATGTATCACACGTAATTCAATAAAAAAATGTATTATATGATAGACTAAAGTCGTGGTTGAGCCATACCTATGCAAATTAAGTAAGTTGTGTTCATTTCGATTTGGAAAAATATCAGTAATTATTTTGAATTTCATTTAGGAAACTATTCATGAGTTTCAACTACGAGCTTTAGATTAAAAATTATTGGATTGAATTTGCAAGTGAACAAGTCGTGACATGCTGTAATGTGGATAAATCATGTTTGGTATTTATGACATTATAAAAAAAATATTAAAATAATTATGCTACAAAATCGTGTGTTCCCTCTAGAATTTGAAAAAATTGCATTACTATAGAAATTAAATTTTAAGTTGCATTGAATAATAGTAATACTAATAATAAACATAAGAAGACTCTTCTTATGTTTCATAAGAAACAATTTTTTTTTTAAGTAATAAGTATAAGGATTTTACTTCTCTCATGTAATAGAAGAGAAATTATCTTAGGTTGTGAGATAAATAAAGTGGAGTTTATCAATTTAAAAAAAAAAATAGAGGCACATCTTTTTATGTGAGTGTCTCAAGTAACATAAGAGTATAATTTCTCTAAGTATAAACCCCTTAAAATAAATAAAAGAACAAGTTCAATTGTTGGAAAAAATTGGAGAGGACGAGACAGCGTGAAACAACCCATTGGAATTCTTCCTGCACCAACATTAGTTTATTGCAAAAGACTATAAAGTGCGCACACAACCCCTTGATAATGTCTTGTCATGCATGTTCACGGTATTCCAAAGTTACTTTCCGTTCCAAATGCAATTCAAATTCAGAAAGATGAGACGTAAGAAAAAGATAACTGGGGGACACAGGGACCCAATTCAATTCATTACAATTGTTTATCTTCCACATTACAAATCAAATCACTGGAGAACCTGTGGGAGAGGCAGAACCATACCAAGAAGTCAAGAACTTCAAGGACCAAGTTGGGAAATGTTAATCGAGTAAAAACAAAAAGCCCTAGAAAGAGTAGAAGACAAACTAAAACTATTCAACAACACATCTGCTTACAGAAGCAATGCTTGAAGCATCACACTGGATATTTCTAGCTCCTTTATTTAATTTTTCTAGTTGCACGAACTTTCAGCTGACAAATACGATTGAGGGGTCACAGCAGCACTCATCTAAGAGGCAACAACTGAAGGATGAACAGAGAAAAAAATTGTGTCAATTACCCAAATAAATAGTAGTCGACAAAAATTTGAAAAAAAAAAGGTGTTTAAATATTTTTTTTATTTTTTGAGTCCTTGTGATAATGAAAAAAAACAAAAACAGCATGGCTAATAATTGAACAAAACAAACAAGGACTCTGCATAGCAATGGAAAGTTGGGAATTTACCATTTCTCAAGGAATCCAGTATCTCTTCTGGGCGGTGGAGCAACATATTGTGGCGGTGCCATCACAGGAGGACATTGATAATACACTGCCAACAAAAGTTCCCCACAAGGAAAATGATTCATGGAGAAAGAAATGTCATAGAAAGAGCATAGTAAACCAAATTTGGTATAACAAGAAAAAAAATACAATTTTTTATCTCAAAAGTGGGAAAAGAATAAAGGGGAAGGGGCAGTTTTCTCCACCATCAATCTATAATATCATATGGGACAAAACCAAGTCTTTGTTTCAGAGGATGAAACTTTTTGAAATTAGTGTTTGATAATGAACAAGGTCCAGTAGACATAAGCATATATAATATGAAGAGAAGAAACATGAAAAGAAGGTTTACCTTGAGCAGGGTAAGTAAATACTCGGGGACAAGTAGGGGTGCTAAACGAGAGCCAGGGGCCTTTGGCTCGGCTCGTGAAGGCCTGAGCTTACATGTCTAAAATTGATTGTTGGACTCAGACTTGAACTTGTATAAAAGCTCGTTTAATAAAAAGGTCTCAGGCTCCAATTCAAAAACTCGGCCATAGAGCCTCTAAAGCTTGCCTAATATATTATTTTTTATTTATTTTTTTATTTTTTATACTACTTGTGATAGTTCTCTCTCTCCTCAATTCATTTCATCCCATTTTATTAATTAAACAGACTTTTTAAATGATTTTATTTTATATTATGTTATTTGGATATACATTAAATTTATAAATATTTATGAAATTATTAGTGCTGTTGATTGTATATTTTGTTTGTATAAATTTTTATTGTATTTTTTTTTTAAACAGGCTAAACAAGGCTTTTATTTTTTGTAAATGAGCCAGGTCACAGGCTGATATTATATTCGTAACAGGTAATAGGCTAAGGTCAGTCTGACACATTTAAACACAGGCTCGACCCATTAAGACCAAAGCTCGACTTGGCTCGGCTCATTAACACTCCTAGAGACAATCATGTCTGGCAAGATGTTCACAAAACAGAAGGGAATTAATTTTTTACTCTAATACATAACTTGGGTAGTTTCTGTTTATTTTGTGTAAACAGATACCGGGCAACGTGTCAACATCTTGTGCCTTGAGAATATCATTCATCATGATTTTGACACGTGGCTGATTAGCTAGTCCAAAGATGGCCTTGTGCATACATATGATAGACACATTGGGTCGAATTGGATTTAAGGCGGTGCTTGGTAGAGCAGGAAAAAAAATTTATCAAAAAAATTGAAT